TATATATATATATTTTTTATTATTATTAGTTTACAAAACTTAATTCTACTTTAATTACTACTTAAATCTACTCCTCCGTGTCTTCTCTCCGCTGTATAGATGCGATTATTTCTTCCACCATGGGGATAAGGGTTAGTAGGTTACTCAACCTAGCCTCCTCCTCGTTATCCCTAGGTTGAGCTAACCATCCTTCATTTAGTTCGGTTGTTGCCTCCAAATGTATTTGGAGCAACTCCTCCATCGACAGCACATTGATGACGTACTGTTGGTCTTCCCCCTCCTCCTGCTCGACGTTATTATCCTCCAATTCAATCCTCGCTTCGATGACGTCAGCACTCGCGATAACCTCTTCATCCGTGATGGATAAATTACGCTCGCCATGCGTCTGCTGAGTCGCCGCGGTCTCCAATTCGGCGTGGTGTCTTGCCACTGCTTCATCAGCGGCAGCGATGAGTTCTTCGTCGGAGAACATGTTGTCTGTGAATGCTTGTAGTGTGGAAGCGCCGTAGCTACTCCCCTACACCAGCGCTCCAAGCGGCAGTGTTATGAAACACACACGCAAGCACACACACGCACACACCAACACACCCACACACACACACACACACACACACACACACACACACACACACACACACGCACACACACACACACACACACACACACACATACACAGGGAAGGGGAGGAATATCCTCCGCCAGTTAGTTCCTTCCCCCTGTGTCAACAGATTGATGAAGTCTAGACATGGGATTAGTGTGTGTGGGAAGTATCATCACAATGATTTCTCACGATGTAAAGAATAATTACACTTAAAAAATTAAGGAAGGGGGAGAAGTACCCTCTGCCACGTACAACATGTGTATTAATTAGTAATTACACATTGTCGAATAAAAAAAAAACTAATTGTAATTACTCATTACAAAAGAAAAAATTGTAAATACTTATAACAAAAAAAAACTAATTGTAATTACCGTACTCATTACAAAAGAACAAATTGTAAATACTTATTAAAAAAAAAAAAACTAATTGTAATTACTCATTACTGATAAAAAGCTAATTGTAAATACTCATTAAAAAAAAACTAATTGTAAATACTCATTACAAAAACAAAAAAAAAACTCATTGCACGAAAAAAAAAACGCATTACACAAAAAAAAAACTCATTACATAAAAAAAAAAACTAATTGTAATTACTCATTGTAATTACTCATTGTAATTACTAATTACCTCCGGTCCCACTCCGCCCTATATGGTACCGGGCAATTAGACCTACTTACATTACAATGTACATTGTTTTATCAAGTAGTCAAAGGTTCAATAAAATATCAGGCGTAATCAATTTAACTGTCGCCCGAAGTAGTTGAGTCAGGTGATGGGTACATACTTTCCATCCAGGTGGGTTATATAAATGGGGTGACGGGCGAACCACTACTTCCCCGTAAATGACGTATCAACTGCCAGTCATTCTACTGAAATGTATTTCCAGTAGTTATGGTAGTTCTATTTCTAACTGGAACTCACGATTTATATTTAGAAATGAGTAAATGAATAAGTTCAAATGCGTCTCCGAATGTCATTAAATGTATTTACATTTACATTGTAAATGTATGTGCATTGTATTGTATGTGCAGTCGCTATTGAATTTCATCCCTTGATCCTAGCTCTCCGCGTAATAGCCCCATAACGTCCAATAATATAGCATGTATGACGGAACATTGTCTCCTGACACTTCGATTGCCTGGGACTGGCCTGGGCCTCAAACCATTGGACAGTCTTAGGTATTCGATCAAGAGACAAGTTCTACCACACAGACAGTACAGTATAATCAAGAATATAAATAAAATTAGAGTTTTGTCTGTACATTGCTCAGAATCATAAACTTTAAGGTTATTTTTACGTTTTATGCATTAAAGAAACCGAAACAAGTCATCTAAGTTTATGTCTGTCTTCCTGTCTGTCGCGGCCCAAGAGCCATTTTACGCGGCCTTCTCCTGAAAAAACGAGAGTACCTATCAAGGTCCAAATGATTTTAATGTATTCACTGGATTGGCGAGATTGTCTTTAGCCATTAAAATATGGCGTCAGTACTTTGTAAATAAAATGACGGACGTTTAAAACCCCAATTTTGTGCGATTTTTTTTAAAGTTTTCTCCCAATGTTTATCACATATTCATCCATGAAATAACGAACAGCTGTTCGAATCAAGATTATTTCTTCTAGCTGTCACTGATATGTTTACATTGAATGTTGTTTACAAATACCGCAACCATTTCCTATCACGTTTTGAAAGCAAATCCAAACCAAGCAAGATTAAAAACTATTTTCCTTACATAACGGATTTAATTAATCGCGAGTGCAATAATTTGTAGGGTAACTGTAAATGAAAATAGAGATTCTTTGTGTATAAAGTTGTTCTTGAGACTTGATAACCGGGAAAAAGACCTTGAATCAGTGTTGTATATGGATGGGAAACTTACATTTTTTAAATGAGCGTTTTCAGTCAAGACTCGGCACACGACCGACGCGTGTCTACATGTCCATAGTAAAAATAAAAGTAGGCCTACCGTGTATTTATGTTTTATTCGTCATGTGTATAAGAGTACAGTTCGTGTATGTGTTTCAAAAACTTCAAGACGCACCTAATGGGGAAACTCAAGACCTTATATTAGGACTGATGATTGCGATTTAATTTCGCCGAAATGCATCTCCTGTAATAAGATACATTAGGATCGACCGGCGGACACAGGTAATTTAACCTTTTATTGATTGCCATACCGATCCGGAACAACAAACAACATAAAATGAAGTTATGTATAATAGTTTGGCCAGCATATCTGAAAATATGCAAACCAACTGCTGTTCTTTATATAAGAAGGTTTCAACCGAATACCATAAGATCCCCGTGCGTAGAACGGGTACACAGCTAGTCAAGAATAAATAGACTTGCCTTTATTACTTGCCTATTATGAACATGGAGACATGATAAATTTTTTTTATTACCAAGCAATCTGAGATTCATCAATGGATTCGAGAAGTGTTAAAGATTACCTAATAATTTGTTAAGCATTCAAACATGAATTTTAAAACAAACACCATGTTATTAATTTTAAAATTCTTTTCTAAGATGTAGAAACAATCAAATTAAAAGAAGTATTTTTACCCAATGAAAATGTATGTTTTAAGAGCAGTATTGTTAAATTTTGAGTTTTCTTACCACTGAGTAAGAACTAATGAGAATCATATACAACAAATCGAATGATACAACCGTCCCCATTAGTTCTTAAGTACATTTTTCTCAGAATGAAACCGGGAGCCCTTTATTTAGTTGTGGAGCACAACAACCCCTATCCGTGGACGGTCTTGTATTATAATCACCTGTGATACAGTTTTATCGCCCAACTCAACAGAAAATACAAGCACCCCAATGGTAAGTATAGCCTGTACCTGCAGTAGTTACGACACTTCAGACCTCTAGCCGTCACGCCAGTTATGTGATAGTGTGAGGCCATTGTATTGTAAATGTCGGCTACATTTGTGGTCCTGGTACAGTTCATTGATCTGTTTTTGTATCCTTTCTCTTCTACGCCCAAGTAATGGAAAATTCGTAAGTTTTTGAAGTGAATGTTTGACAACTACTTGGATTTCTTACAAATCAATCCATCTGGGGTTATCACTTGCTTAGGAGTTTAAAGAATGTAAGGTGCACGGCATTACCCCGAAAGGCATAGTTCCGAAAATAATGCAATGCCAAGGCTCTTCTGAAAGACGCATGCTCCAAAGATGTGTTTCGCAAGAGATCCGGGCTTTCCACCGAAATACACTGCTTGGAAACAATATTTTGAAGCAGTGCATTTCAGAGTGAGATTGACGCAAATTCTCTTTGAGGACTTTCGGAGCGAAGTCTGGATCTCGCACTCACAGTATCTCGCAGACATTACCCACAGTAGCTTGTATCACTTCTTAATCTGAACCACTCTTAGCTGGACAACAAGTAACGTAGATCTCAGGCAGGTACTCAGAGTGATAAGCAGAAAGCGAGAAGCAGGCACTTCGGTAATTAAGTTTCTCGTTCCGTCCTCAGCCCTCGTCAAGGTCACAGTCTGCTGCGTGGTGATAACACTTATCACTGCCTCAGCAGACAAAGGAGAGACTTATCAGCGGCGACGTGACGACAAAGTAACCGCTGTCTTTGCGGAGGTTGTGAAACATGAAGTTGTAAGATCAGTGTTTGGTCTAGACTCAGGTTTATTGAAGGTTTTGACCAGAGTGAGCATATTCAATGGCGTAGCCCAGGTTCTGTGAGGTGTTTGTAGCTTATAAAATTATTTGGAAAATTTGATCATTCTGTTTTAAAAAATGAATTCACCGTGTTGTTAGTCATGATGTCGATACTAACGCTCGTCGTCACGTACCGTGGATGTCTTTCACGGGTGACTCTATAGTTTGTATGATGGAACTTGTTTCCTGGCCAAGTCTACCAGGGACTGGCCCTGGCCTTAAACCATTAGGCAGTCATCAGGTATACAAATTGTAACGTGACAGGATCCATCGTACGGAGTATAGTAGGCATAACATGATTGTGGTGGTTTCAGTTGTTGATGAGAACACCAAGGTCGTTCTAGGACTTTGGCATTGTCTAGCAAGTCGACTTTGACGTTGTCGCAAAGTTCCAGTGGCTGAAAACCAACTGGAGCAGTTTTAGGACTATGCCCTCTTCATTCTGGGATGGGATTGCAGCCGCGGTAGGTACTTTTGTACTAATTTGTGAAATTATGAACTGAAATGTTGCCGCAACTGGCGTTAAGGGTAAGGTAGGTTGGGTTTTTTTTTAAAGCGCAATTTATTCTTGCTGACGTAGAACCAACCAACCCACAAGTGTTACAGAAGACTGAAATTAGGTTCAATTGGCATGCAAGGGGATGCTACTTCAGCGTTTTCTACTGATACATGTAATACACATGATTACAAATGTTTAATGAGTGTTTCCTCTGTTTCCCAGCGGCCGGGAGCGCAGACAGAGATACAATGATGGCTCCCAGTGTGGGGGAGGGAGGCCAACGATCTCTACCCAACTTCTGCGACGACAGCAGCGCTGAGTCCAACGGCAAGGAGAACAGGTGAATTGAGAGATACTAGAAATGTTGGATTGATGATGTCTAAACTTTGACTATAAGTGAAAGTAGACATTACATTCCCATGTCAAAGTTGATGCCAGTTTTAAAAAATAAAGTACTTTACTTTAACCACCGACAGAGTGATGAGAGTTACTGATATTTCAGTCCAATACAACGTTCTTAGCAAGCCAAACTGAAAGGACTTATTGTGAACTATTGCATCTTTTGTGAAACACTTAAGTCACAGTATAAACAACCAAGGGAGAACAAATAATGTAGACTTTAGCACAATCTTGGAGTAAGTTACTTAGCTCATACAACTAACTTCGTTTAGTGCAAACCACGGATATGTTATATAAACATTTTAAAGCACAGAGAAGAAAATGTAAAATTATGAATAGGTCAGAAGATAGATGTAAAAATTTGTTTTTCTATTATTTTTTATCAAATATTCTGAAAAAGGGAACCTATACATTTCATAATTACTAAATATATTTTGCCGAATTTCCCCAGTGTAAGTCGGTAGCTAAAGGGTTTGTTATTTTGAAATGTTTTGTCTAGTAGTAGTAATGGACGTTCCCCCGTGCGGTACCGGGTTAGAATAGCACCGCAGCCTTCTCGGGCTTGTCGTAAGAGGCGACTAAAAGGGTGACCGACGAACTCACTGGGAGTCCCTGGGAGTGCCCCTGTTGTGTTGCAGGGGTTGATGTGTGCTCTGCACTGCCAATGGAATTTATCAGTGGGTCGTGAGAAACCAGCCACATCAGTCCTTGGTCAGGGAGTGTGGCATGGATGCAGAGGTCGGGCTCTGCATTGCGACGGGCGACCCCCGGCATGTCAGGTATCCGGTGCTGGGCAAACGGAGGTCGGGCCCCGGGGAACCGGGGTAGGGGTTTTTTGTCCCCAAGGGTATACCCGTTCCTGACTGATTCCGAGCCGCTCCTTGCCGCACGATGCGCTGGAGAAAACACGATGAATTTTAATACAAATCCTACAAACACATCATTGAATAGGAGCTCCAATGAGCAAAAAGAAACGTCTGAAGTGGAGCAGAACCCCTTTGATCGAAGCTTCAAGCTTAAGAGGTCGCCACCACCGAAAAACGTAAGGACATCTCCGCCACCTGCACCTTTCAAGTGCTCTACGTTCCCCCCGTTAGGATCTCCTTCGGAGAGTGGAGCTGGAAACAGTGCAGAAAATGTTGGCGATGTAGATGTCGAACTGGCATTGCCGGGAACTGTTGTAGGGATGCCGAAGGAAACCTTCACAGCGACGTCGCGGTCGGAAAGCTCTGAGATTGTGCTTCTGCGTCAGGAATATCTTGACGCAGATTGTGACGTACGATGAATAATCATTTATAAAGAAAACGCCTCAATATATTTTTTCTTATTTGTTTACCAAAAGACTGTTTCCTGATATACTTAAATAAACAGTCATATGTTCTTCAATTGTTTTTGGTTGAAAACAAAATAATGGTTTCAGTGTGTTGTTGTGTGGAATGAAATAAAGAAGATGGTTTTTGTTCACATTTATTTTGTCATTTTTTAATGTTTGATATTAAGTAATCGTCCGTGATATCAAAGTAATTGAATCACGTATAGTGACGATATAACATTGAAACCCGGCTCCGTGACATGGAAAAGACAAGGCTATGCTGGACACATTCCGGACCCAGAGAGCTGTAAATCAAGTGGTGGAATGGGAAAACTAGATAATGACCTTGGCTTCGTCTTTGCCTGCCGTCTGGTAAGCAAGTCGACCATGGAAAAGATTGCCGAAAAGGTGGTGTTCCTGCCCGATAAAAGAGCGCTGCCTTCTGAGAAACGTCGGAGGCCTTCCACATCGGAGAGTCCTCCAAAAAGAGAAGAAGGCGTCCAGACCAACGAGACATTTTTCCACTGCCAGCGCTGGGAAAGGCCCCGCCTGGAGGCTCAACAGTTAGTAGGACTGCTGTCGGTGGACACGGTCATACCGATTATGACGGAGGGTGAGGACAATTGGACCTGTGTATCACATTATATCCAGGGTATTCTCTGCGCCAAGAAGATCGACCTTGACCGGGATGCGGTGTAGGTCATTAAGAATCTAAATGCCAGAAACAGTGCGAGCCCTGAGGGCTTATGTCACATGTTGGCCTGACTTGAAGTAATGTGACAAACAATTCCAGGTCTGTGTCCAACAGAGTAGAGGGGGTTTTTTAGTGAGTAGTCTGATAATTTTCAGGAGTCTCACACTACAGGCTGGCTACCTGTGTGCGTAAAAGCATTTTTCCTCCTCTCCCTAAAAAAAAAAGTAGTAATGGACGTTAGAGCCCAATGTAAGATATTATATGTCAGGGAGTTTTACCTGTCATAACAATGGAGTTTGGCAGGAGAGTGTGGGAAGTTTCTCACCATTTGTAAGTGATAATTGGTAACGATGGTTGGTAAGTGGTAAACTGTGAAGGCTTGCTGGTAAACATCATGTTAGGTATTCTACAACCGTGGGGCCATCACTTTGGTTTTCAATCCTCATAGTTTGAACAATTTACGTTACTTTCTGATAGTGATAATTGTGAGGTTTACTGTGGCAAACTGCAGTTATGAAAAATTCCAATCAGAAATTTTCATTTGCCCCAGTTTTATTCTTGCCGAGATGCAGTACAGTAACAATGAAATTTTTTTTTTTAAACAGTGCTAGTTGAACTAGGTATGGTTATAACAGGCCAGATGACATTCTCACTTATACACATTCTGGTCACGTTATTGATTTATTGCATTGGAATATTTTTTTTAATCTCTCATTCTTTTAGACAAAGTTTGTATCACTATTTTAAAATATCTTACAGGTTATCAAGTAAGAGTTAGTAAGTTAAGCTGGTTGATTTTTTTTTTATCATCAGCATACCTATTTTTAACTGTCTGTCTAACAGCTGTGTAGCTTGTATTAAAATTGTTTCAAACAAATTTGTTGTTTTATCAGTGTCTTTGAATATTAAGAATATTAACTGTCGGATTCAAAACAGCTTAATTTTCAATCAACATGGCTAGAAAATATTAACTTTGTTTGTATTCAGGTTAGGAAACTTTCTTTTCAAATCATGATCCAAACTACACCAGGTTAATCAGCTTTACCTTGCTTCAGTTATGAGGGAAAGCCTGCATTATGGTATCATATTTCATGCCCCCAGCACTTCGCTTTCCTTGCCCATAATCTGGGCGTAATTCAGATTTACTCGGTTTGTTTTAGTTGCTATCAAACCATCAGGTAATAAATGGAGTGGTACGGTGATGGACATTCTTATTTAGCCTCTCGAAAAAAGCCTTTCTCTTTTTACTCGAAAACAGTATGGTGTAACTTTGTCAGAGTAATTTTAGCCATTTCTTTTATGATAAAGGATACATCTTGCTTCAATGGGTGTTTAATATTTCTGTACGTATGTATATAAATTAATGTATCAGCTTCTTCTATGATTTATTTGAATGGATGTTTTGTAGTAGTTGTCTATTACATTTTTATTTTGTAAAAAGGAGCAGTCATATCAAATCACTATTTTGGTTTAATACAAAATTGTTTATGTTTTGCAGTCGCTGTTCGAGTCTATCTGATGGAGAGAGTTTCGAGTGTTTTGGAGAAGCAGATATGGACACTGGAACCCCTCAAAGTTTGAGGTAGGAATATGAGGTTTTAAAAAAACTAAAGGATAGTTGAAAGTATGTCACTTAAAACCGCTAAAATGATAGTGTATTAATTTTCTGTCCCTATAACATCGATCAGCTGATTGAAACCTATTTATTACCAAAGTTGCACATGGTCAGCTGATGATAGCTTGTTAACATTAGTCTGATAAAAAGAAATTGCTGTATAATTTAACATATTATGGTAGTAGTCTAGCTCTTAGCATTTAGAAAATATAGTACAACATATAATCAAATGTTTGTTTGGTTTATAGTATTCTTGGATAGGAGAGAGGACATAAATGTAAATGAATCATGGTTTAAGCTAAATTTTATAAATTAATATTGTCCTTAAATTATTTTCACAACGATACAACTCACACATAAGGTCTAATTTTACATAACAATATATTTGAAATTATGTAGTTGCTTTACATCTTTACTTGAGGGAACACAATAAACCAGTTTTATTTCAGGTGATGTTTTCTGCATTAAATTTTTTTTATGATTTTGAAAGTTCTGAAGTTAGATTATAAATAAGGATGACCAGAAATAATGGTTTCTGGCTTATAATAAAGTCAGGTCAGCAAAGAGAGGTTGTACAGTATTGATATGTACAACAATGTTAGGCTGTCTGAGTGTGTTACACAGCCAATTTGTTTCCAGAGACCAAATTAAACCAAACTCAACCTCCATTGTTTCTCTTGCAGTTTATTTCAGTTCTTGCTTTGTCTCCATTTGTTTTGTCTAACATGTATTTTTCAATCGGTATAAATCTTTAATATAAAAAAGATTAGTTTAATCATTTTATTTAAATATAAATGTGAACAAAATTGTAATCTTAACATTAAAATTGAGATGTTATATTTAATTAACTTATCATTTCTTTTGACTGAAGTAATCAAGAAACATACAATGTAAGAGTGCTATTCTGTGATTTTTTCCTAGAACAAGAGAATGAACACTGAATAATGTATATATTTGTGAAAAATTGTAGAAGGTCAAATGAAAAATCCAAGAAGATCCTTGTTAAAAATCCAAATTACTAGAGGACCGAATTTAGCCGATTTAGCGACTCTTGTAAAAACATCCTCAAATTTGTAGAATAAGTGAGTGTCCAAAACACAATGAATATATATTTTTCATACTGAATGGTCTTAAAGATTTAGTTAGAAGTTAGCTTAAAGCTTTGACTAATTGTGCTGATCTAAATTACTGATTTCTGTCGAATACATAATCTTTTTTACCAATTCAAACTAATGGAATGACAGTTTAAGCAACTGTTATGACCCATCAACCTGGTGAGCAACAAAAAAGAAGGTATAAAATAGAATTTTAGGCACTAGTGCATTCTGTGACTGGCTCACACAACTACGTTATTTTTTTACAAAAAGAATTGCTACAGCTGGTCCATATAGATGGGACCTCTACTTCAGTATCTAATGGTCAATGCTTAAAGCTAACTAAACACAAAAAAAAAGAACTGGTTTAATCCTGCAACATATTTATGATATCCATTACACTCTGTATAGAGAGTATTTTTATAACGATTGGACACCTCGCGCAAAGTAATAGATCTTTAACTGGAACACTGTCTATAAAATTTCTCATAAAGAACCCACTAAAGTGTGCTATAATGTTGCAACATAACAAACGGTTTGCTGTATTGGTTGGATGATTTATGTTGCAGTGGCGATGGTTTGCTGAGAAGTCCGCGCAGTGAAGGCCTCAAACGCAACACCTGGTTGCGGACCAGTCTACGACGGACACCATCCAAGTGAGTACTGCGTAGTGAAGTGTCTTAACATTTTTCATAATTCTGTAGTCTTGCGGTTAAAGTTTCGTAGCCGCAATCTCATAGAAATTTCATTAAGTTATGGAATATCGTTCGGTGCGGAAAGTTATCCAAAAATAATTGTGTATTTTCCTCACTAGGGCAGAAAGTGACTCTTTCCGGCCTGAACTGAAGTTTCTCTACCTCGAAAAATGAGGGATGGTTGAAAAGATAGTAAGGTGGTACATTTCTGCCACGCCTCAATCATAAAATTTAAGCTTGGGTAGAAAAGAATCACTTAATGCCCTAGTGATGAAATAAAAATACTATTAAGTTATTCATTCTAAACGTATCCTTCACTGGCGTTTGACTGTACAACACACCCTGGTATGTTATGTTATAATATGACAATAATAATTGTAACTAAAGCCAACTGTACAAAACTATGGTAACAAAAGGAAACCTTGTTTTGTGTTCATAGGATTTTGTTCCTGCATCACCTTTGTATTAGTTGTTTATGAATGTTGTAAGAACTGTGGATTGAAATAAAAAGCAATTTCTTCTCTTCATCAAACAAAACCAAAACCAAATTACCAGCTCACAATGGAGGGTAAATTTAAAACCCCTCACTAATACAATCCTTAAGTTAATTCCAGAATGCAAACTCTTACAGATCTCTATTCAGTCTCCGACATTTACATATAGTAAAGTCTCATTCATGATTCTCACCAGGTAAAGACGAGCTCACGTGTTTGATCAGTAATTAGCCACAGAGTTACGTGTTGGTGTACACTTGTGTTTGTGATCCATATTGCCATGTGTTTACTTCTCCTGTTGTTTAACAACTAAGGTTATTACACCCATCTTTTGAGAGAACAAGAAACTCCCCATTCCTCATCTATTTGTCTTAACAAATTCAGGTAAAACATACTGCAGTAAAACTTTTAGTTTTTAAATATACCGTATTCTGTCATAATAAGCAGTGGTTTCATATTTTCATTGAAGTTATATTTAGTAGTCTATTGATCAGATGGATAAAAAATGACATGTTGATTTGATAGGTACGTAGCGCATTTTCACAGTGATTTGGTAGAGTGATGGAGTGGATTGGATCATTAAGATTCAGAACAACAAACAATATTATGTTGCTTAATTACAAATCTCAATTCAAAAGTGTTACAACAACAGCTTCTTCTACTTACTAGGTCTGGTTTTCTAAAAGCTAGTAATAACAGGTTCCAGCTCTCAACTAAAGTATTGTTGGTGGTTTCAGCAACCACGAAAACCTGCCGAACAGAAGATGGGGCTCATTTCGGCAACCGTAAGTTTCTTACCTTATAATTAATCTTCTAGTTTTATGGTTAAGTGTATCTGTAAGCTTTCCTCCCCCCCCCCCCCCCCCGGAAAATAGGGATGAATTGTAAAAAGTAGGTAGTTGGGTTGTCCGTTATAATCTCTAGTTCATATTGCTAGTATTTGTACCATCTTGCTTACCTGGGAAGACTGTTCTTGTCTCTGTCTCTCTTCTGTCATACAGTGCAACCTTAATTCAACAAACCTTGGTATAACAAACTCCTTGATTTTAAACTTTTTAAATTTCCTGAAACTCTCAATAACAATCTATGTACATTTCTCCTCTACTGTACATAACAAACACTGTACTTAAAAACTCCTCGTAACACATTTATTTAATAACCTCAGCATAAATGTACCATCAGAAAATCTGTACCTAGAATCTCCTTGTAACGAGTAAATGGTACTTTGTGTACTTCCAATGTATAAGAGTAGAGACCATCTTAAATTTTGTCAAGTGACACAAGGTGCGGGCTATATCAACTGTATAGTGCTCGACTGAGCGTTTGCACCATTTGTGCTGCAATAAATGCAATTAGGCCCTTTCAAAAATATTAAAAGCTGAAAGTCATCATAAATTTAAATTACACAGTGACGTGGATAAAATATAGCAATATAATTAAACGATAAGAATACCAGAATACATGATTATCAATTTTACTGAGCGTAGCCATTTGTAGCTGAATTGCATCCGTAGATGTATGAAAACCCTGGAGAGAGAGAGATGGCTGCATAGGGGAATTAGATTATTTCTGTTGGGGGGAAGAAGGTGCCTGGTGTATGTGATGATGAGGTTATGCTGGTCGTTATGTAGAATTAACGATGTACAGAATCATTGTAGGTAATAATGTAAGCATTAGAGAGAAAAAAAAACCCTCTTCCCTAGCATTGAAAATATGTCAACTTTCTCTTGTGGTGTTATCTCTTTCTACATGTAATATTTGAACTAAAAATTAAAATAATAAACCCTTTGCATTCTTCCTTATGCCTTCCAGAAAAATAATAAATCTTAAAATACAGTAACCAATTTAAACAAAGTAAAAATCATTAAGGCCTTTAAAACTGGAGCTTGTGTTTCTTGAATTGACTTGAACAGTACATGAAAAGTGAGAAAAAGCTTACAAAAACCGGTGTCTCGAGGTACTGTATTTAAATTGAGAATTTAGCTGTACACTGGAATAACACTAAATCAGACGAACGCTGAATATATCACAAGTGAGAGTATATTTTAAAACACTTTTGAGAGAAACTACGCTCATAAGGTGCATACTATAATCAACCAAACAAGTAACAGGTGACGTGGCGCGGGCGGCCGTCCTCGTGCCACCCCTAAATTCCACGTCCCTTTCGCTGTCCCTCGTGACGTATCGTAAGTGGCAATGTAGTGCGACGGTTTTCTGGACTGTAAAATATTGTTTTTAGTAGTTTTCTTAACGCCGTCCTTAAAATTAGCCAAGAAACACTCATGGGACATCCTATAGAAATTTTGGAAGAGTTCTGGACATCAATTTAACTCGAGCATAGCGTAAATGTTCTGGTTCTCCCTTCTTTCTCCAATGTATGAGCCCAATATCTTCTCCTTTATTTGCGAATTGAGGATCTCACCTCATCTTAATGTGTCTTCATCATCATAAAGTTTTCTGGCCACTGTCCAGTCCCTTCTGTGTGCATTGTACACGCAACTTCTCTGCCACGTCGTCCGTGTCTCGTTCATTGCCATGTCTCTGTCCGACGTCCATTTTGTGTGAATTTGCACTTAGAAGATAGAAACGTAGATCAAAGGTTCGATTACTGTCAGTGTTCTCAGATGTGACATGAAACTTATGAGGAGTTCTCCTGGCTGTGGTAAAGTTGTGGTCGAAGCTTATAAAAATAAAGAGTGAACGTTCCAGCTGAAAATCTTTGTGTCTGGTTGGATTCTTTGTTGAAGCATCTTTAATCAGGAACTCATTAAATTGGAGGAATGTTCACTGTATTTAAACAACACTAACTAGGGTGTCAAGCCGACCTGGAAACCGAGAAAACTGGGAACCGTACTTGAATTTTCATGATCAGGACGAAAAACCAAGGAAATAGTTCTTATTGTTTATAAACTTTGTATGTGAACTGAAAATTTGGAATAATTGTCAATAGTGTTTAGTCGATTGTCCACTCATCTATGGCGTTCCATTGATTGTCTCTGGTCGGATGAGTGGGATTTTGGTGTAATATTTCTATGACGTTTAAAGGGGATCTTAAACAATTTTAGCATGCCAAAAGACGTCAAACAAATCTCAAAAACTTAACTAAACAATTAATTGCAAAACTATTGTATTCCCCTACAATACCTGAAATAAGCAAAGATAAATAAAGTTTTTCTATTAAATGTTGTCTCAGGTCAAAATAGCTTCGATAGGATGAGTTTAATAAAGCGATGTCACGCTGTTGTGCTTTGTCAGGGGTTCACAATACTCAATACAGTGTGTATGGGCTTGCATGTCAAAGGGGTGGTTTGTAATGAAGTCATGTCTACTTTCCATGCAACCCATGTATACCACACCAACCTACGCTTGCAAATACTCTGCATTCTGTTGAAGTTTACAACAAAAATATGAGGGTTTAGCAGTTAAACCAAGATCTTCTTTATATAAATTTTGGAAGTAAAAACATATTCAATTTTATGCTACATGGTGACAAGTGTATATTTTAGTTCAACTTAAAGAATACAGTAGCAGTAATAGGTTTGTGTTGTGGTTTTACCAAATTGTGTAATCCCTTTAACAATGGGTATAGAGTTTCAACATTGTTTTGACTTTTTATTCCTGACATTGTTTGCCAACAATTGATGTTACTAACTTGAACTTGAGTGAATAGTTAGTTCTAGCACTATCCTTAGGTCGGTTTTATCATTCAAATTACCCTCCTATTTTTATTTTGCGAAAACTTTCCTATATGTTTAGATATCTTTTATTATTTCTTGTGGAATTATAACACTTTTGGGTATGTTAGATACGTTATTATTTGGGTCAAAGAAGCCAAAACTTAATTTATATGACATTAAGTCTGATGGCATAAAAATAATATTCATGTCCAAAATAAACACTCATTTCTTTCAAGTGTCTAACATATACTTAAATATAATTTTTTTTATTAGCAATTCATATTTTTTTCTTTCTTTAATTTTCTTCTGTGTAACAAAATTTGCAGAAAAAATGTTCATAACTGTCAGAATAAGTTACATCCAAATGTAGTTAGATTTAATGATGTCCAGCTTTAAAAACATAAGTTTAGTCATACTGCAAAAACATGCAGCAAAAACAGCCGTTTTTAACTTATGGGTCTAAAGTAGCATTTTTACTCTCTATGGAGCAAAAAGAGTTTTTAGCCCCTAGGGAGTACAAATCTGATTTTGTATACTCAGTTGTAAATTTTGATTGTAAACAGTTGCATGTATCGAAAGTACCGGTATGTATCAATTGAAGTTAAGTGTCGCCTTATTGTAAATAGTTCGACACATCGATAGTAACACAATCATAATAGACGAAACTATTGAATCACTTACTAAACAGCTGCTTGTTTCCATTAACAAATTAAATTAAAAACTAGTAAGAAGTAGTTTTGGCAAGTTATCTGAAAACTATTTTTGTTTTGCAACATAGTTTTTTTTTCAAGTAATGGTGCAATATGACGATAAATATAAATTATTACACAGGCTCATTTTCTGACCTTGGCTTCGCCTCAATCGTAAAACTTGATCTCGGGTCAAAAAGAGTCACTTCAAGTTATATAGTGATAAAATATACTGTTTCCGATCTTTTTATGTTTTTAATTTAAAAATGAAGAAATGTCTATCTACATATGTAGAGACTTTATATATATTTCACATGATGCTTGACGCCTGTTGTTTGTTCCCTAGATCTGTTTCTAAGCCACCCAAAGTTGAGAATGCTTCTTTAAGAATCCCTCGCACCAAAGTGTAAGTCTCGTCACACAATGTGTTTGAATTATTTGCGACACATTTCTTTTGTTCCCCCATTTTGCTTCTTTTTGTAAAATAATAAATTATTAGCACTGTGTGTATGCTTTTATGGTTTATTTAAGCATATTGTTGTTATGTTTTGCAAATAAAATAACTATATATAATGATCATGGTGGAATGCTTTGAGTAAATTTTCAAAAAGCACACTGCTATTTTGCTTTGCAAACACACTATCCTCTTTAAGCGACTTTAATTTGCATTAATTTTGTATGCTTCTGTAGGTAGTTAGTTAAGTTTAATCCTTAATATCTATAAAAATAAAAACCCAATTGACGAATGTGTCACAATATAATTTAATTTAGTTTTGAAAATTAGAAGGAGAGTGTTTATAAATAATGTAGCGTATTGCACTTTCATTGAAAAAAAATGAATACTGTATATATAAATATTGTACATTTTTAAAACGTATTGTTTATAAACTACTAAAACAACTCGTGACATTTTTCAACGTCCAAGATTTTCAGCTCTCTGATGAAAAATGTCAGACGGAAAGCCAATATCATTAATTTTGTGAACTGTCTCTAAAATTACCAGTTTCAACACTGTTTAGACATCCTGGCCTGGCTTATTTCCATTTTTTCTGGTTTTATAAACTTTCTACTGAAATATTATTAGTCCTTAGCATCATAAAATTTATGATGATAAAAATAAGACTAATGAAAAAGTATGTAATCATACATGCCTTATATATTTGAAAATGTTTGATTGGGAATTGTTTATACCGGCTTGTTTAGTTTATGTATATTTTGTGTTTAATTTTAGATTCATATCTCATTTAATTTAGAACCGTCTTTACTATGATTTATATTTAATGTAGGATAAGATTTACTCGGAGTATTATAAAATCAAAATTCTTAATTATTGTCCCTAACTAAATATTTTTAAAATTATTTACTTCTATGTGAGTCAGGAAGGATATTGCAAAAGATAAGATTATCAAAGGTTTGTTTACAAGAACTAAGGTGTGTTTTCCTGTTGCGATTTGCTGATTTAGTTTGCTGCTTTTGGTTGTGGAGAGGTTTGGTAAGATTAATTTTTGTTTAGTCATTGAGTGATGATTTTTCCAATATGATAACATTTTTTGAGAACAATGGCTTTTAAGTGTAAAATTGAATTTCCCATACACTTTTCTTAGGCCATGATCTTTACTGTAATTTTCCACCCCTATGATACAGACTTAGAAATAAAATCATTAGGATTTTTTACTCATAATTTACACACTTGGATCTTATTGCAAAGTTACTACTGTATTTTATTCATTTACAAATTTGACCCTCAATGGTAAATTTGTAAAACATTTGCCACCTGTCATTATTCAAATTCATTTAAAACTAATTCATGTCTTAACATTTTATTCATTAACAAACTGTGAACCCATATACAACAATGTTTAACAATGTGAAAGATAAAGGTACTGTTTTGTAATTTCTGTCTAAATTGTACACGTAATATTGTAAAATGCTTGTAAATTGTTTATTTGTAACGAAATAGTAGTATATTTCGTACCTAGGGCCAAAAATGAGGTTTTGCTGGCTCGAGATAGTTTTTGAGCTCGAGACGAAGTCGAGAACTTAAAATGATAGAGAGCTACAAAACCATTTCGGTCCATGGTACGAACGCTATTTTTCACCGCACTATACCCTATTACCACTATTCATCCCAATAATAATGCACACTGATAGTTAACAGAACTACAACTTTAAGGTTATGCGAAGAAATAATTCGAAGAATCAGCAAAAATAATAATAAATAGTTGCTAGGCAGCAGCATAGATAAAAGGAGTCTGCTTCTTTTAATCTATGGCAGCAGTGACAATAAAACAATTCTATTGCAATGCTATGGATGTGTATTTAATATGCATTCATGTTTTAAGAAAGTAAGCGGACAGCTGATTTTGCGGCCCTAGGGATGTAAAAACCTGCTCGGTCCCCAAATGATCGGCCAGCAAAACGTAACTTTCAGCCACCGACGTATGTAAAACAGCTAAAAACATCATAGTGTGGTGAATAAGAAATTTTTATTTGATTTGTTAGTAATAGGCCTGGAAAGGTTTCTGTTCTTGAACTGCAGTAAATGAACCACTCGTTGGTCAAATATTTGATTTAGTAACTCTATAATTTTAATGTTTGTTTTACATATTGTGATTTATTAATAGCTGGTGTTCTCACAACAGAGAAATAATTAATTTTCACTCAGATTAAAAGGTAGGGTTTTAAATAGAAAGAAACGCATGTTGTTTCAAGTTTTATCCTTTTTTATCCCCACAGCTGGTACTGTGTTGTTTGCTATTGCCACATAAATTCACCAACCCCTGAAATACAGGAGAGATTGTCTCGGTATAACATTGCAACTGTGCTTGTTGGCCAGTCACTCCAAACAATGTCTAACAATAAATAAATTAAATTTACTTTTTTGAGTTTATCATCGCGATCAATATAAGGTAACTTCTATGTACGGAATAACCTATTACCGTATTCTCGCAAACCAGCATAACCAGACTACAGGAACGGGAATAATATCAGTTTTATGGTAAAAAATTGGTATTTACTAATTTTTTACCCTGAAAGCGTAAAATTTTGTGTAAAATCCAAACCATTTTGCAAAGCTTAAAAAACAAATAATTTAGTTTATCGAAGCGTTCTCATGCGCCTAAGGTTAAGGCGCAAAAACTGTAAGTTTATTAAATTTTCAAAGTGTTTCTTAAGGATAATAAGTAAATTTGTAGTAGTTTGCTTGTTTATGAACATATTTTGATCGACATTGGAAAATTGATTTATTTCATACTCGACTATTAAAACTTCACTTAAAACACATGTTACCTTCCCTTCCCTGTAACAGTAAACCTAAGTTAGTCAGCAGGTTTGCTGGAGTGAGGGTATTTTTATTTTTATTACAACTTCTTGTGTCAGTCTTAAACTACTAAATAACAAACATGTACCAATACTGAGCATTTACTAATTGATACTTTAACTTATTGCAACAATAATGTTTATAATACTTACTAGGGTTTATTTATTATTTTTCCTTGCTTATTGAATTCTGCAATTTTCAGGCGGTTTCAAAGTGGTTTAAAACAATCATCAATCATAACTTTATGTGGATAAGAATTCTGAGTTGGAAAATAAACTAGTGTGTGTGTGGACATTCTCTTTATTTATTTAAAACACATGGCCTGAATGTAAATAAACCTTGAACATGTTGGGATCCCATGTTGACCATTCCTTGTTACAGTTTTACCTATGTGAGTTCTAAAGGGATTTTTTACTGCAACGAACCTCAAATTATTTTAGAATTATTTATTATCAGTTCAGGGCTTCCCAAGATATTTTAAGTGAAATTCAACTCTCTGTGTTATTCCAAGTAAAATGTCTTCCTATTGGTACATTCCTTAACTTTTCACTATTTATAAAAAAAATCATGAAATGTTGCTAAAACGTCTTATGATAGAGAAAACTTTATTTCAAGAGTCTTGGGTCAATAAAGTAACTAGGCCTAATTTATGAAGAAAGACTAAAAAAATTTAAAATCCTTACAAAAGTGTATATACTTCGAGGCTAAATCAAGGGTAGTAATTAAACCTTGCCAAAAACTACTTCCTAACCAACTAAGAAATGTTTTTACGACTCACTCTATCCTCCTTGTCTTGATGATGATTCAGGTGGGAGACAGGTCCCGTCTTGAGTCATAACCAGCCAATCCCTCCTCTGATGTCATTGAAGATATGTCTTGACCTATTCTCTCTCATTTATATTCCTCCTTTGTTTTTCCACCCACTTCTTCTTCTCCCCCCCTCTACTCTGCACAGCTGCTTCACTCATTGGTTAGAGGTTCCATGGGATTTAAACTGTCAATTAGTAAATTTTGAAAGGTCATTCCCCTACTGTGTAGGTAAATTAGATGATAACTTATTAGTACATGATTTAAGAATAGGAAATACTTTTAGGATGATGTAAAGTCTCAGCATGACTTGAATAAGGAAATATTTTTCCATGCACTACTTAAAAAAAATTAGCTTATGTAATTATCATATTGAAAACCTCTTTGAGTGTATAATTTGATCTATAAACATATATTAGTGAAAAATTCTTTCAATTCTGTTAATTTTAGTTCCCAAGTATTTGGCTTCAACAGAACATTACATGGAATCTTCTTGGCAACCGCCCTAGACCAAAGAGAAATACAGTTATTCTAAAATAAGCATGATTAATTTAATTTTTCGATGTCTTTTAGAGTTACTAATTAGGATTTGACAGAACTTTACAAAACCCCTTCCTAGCCAACGTCTATGATCAAAGACAGACCCATTTTCACAAAATACACATTGTTGACTCAAATTGATTTTTCAAAAATCTGTTGCAGTGAATGTTATTGAGGGAGGACTTCCCAAAACCGGTGGTTAGCAAGTGCTAAGTAGCAAACCTTATGTGCCAAGTATAAGAATTTATTGGTTTCCATATAATATTTATTAAATATTTTCTTTTTTTATTTAGGTTTTCAAGAAATATATTTAAGTAGTAAATAAAGCACAACTGAGCATCCTGAAATAATGATTATACTTTTTATATATACATTTTTTATATTTTAATTAAAAAAGTAGGCCTATATAATAATTATTTCAGGGTGATCAGTTGTGCTTTATTTACTACTTTATCAATTATATAATATATAATATATGTGATTGTGTAGTTTTAATGGTTAATGAGCCCTTCGAGTTTTTTTAGGAATTATGTATTCTTCAACCATTCAATCAAAATTAACAGAATTTCTACAAACATAATTTTAAAACCAACCAGTTGAGTACGGTTATAGTATCCTTAGTATAATGTTATGGCAGTCGTTGTCGGTCAACCAAAGACAATGTTAGTTGGCGACTGTGGGTTGGCGGTAGAGAGCGCAGCAGCACCGGATCAATGTAGGCTAGGCAACCAGCCAAGCAGTAGTACGCGCCGGGCAGTCGTACAGCGCGGACGGCGTTATTCATTGTTGCAAGCGCTTCTAGATCTGTGAGTTCTACACGTTTATTTTCTATACTTTTGAAATAATTTGTACAATATTTTGCCTTGTGACATATTTGACACAGGGAAATGTTTTGTTCATTGTATTGTGTGAAATAATATTATAAACTAATGAATATTAGATAATGGTTTAGTTGAATTTTTTCAAGTAAATGTATATTAACAAACTTGGAGGTGGTTTCGTAGGAATAAGGAATTCAAAGTGATTTTGGCTAGTTTATTTTCGGTTTAAAATTATTTATGCTTTGTCATTTGAGGTTATAAAACACAAGGTACAATGCATTTTGATGTACTAAACGTTATGGTCATTTTATTATTTTATATTTTATGGTGTTTTTTCTTTGCTTTTAATAAGCTTTTCTTTGCAGTGTATAATAAGTTTAAAGGTTTTAAAACGAGTTTTGTCCTATTATTTACGTATGATTTGTTTTCATTTTAATTTATTTTGTTATTATTTGTTTTTAGATCTGGAAAGAGACTGGGCAGTAATGCATTAGCCAGGTATGTTTGAGTTTTCCTTTATTTGTTTGGTGTTACCACAAATTTATCAATTCTTTAGCTTTTGAACTAACATATTGATCATTTTAAAATCCTACAACGGTTATTGGTCCTCTGGGACGATTTAAACTACTTTTGTCCCGAAACTAATTCATTATTATTTTTAAGGTTCTATTGTTTGGTAAAATATCTACTGTATTTTCTTACACAAAAAGTATCTTTACGCTATGAATGTAATAAAGAAATCATATGTTTCATTAAATAGACTTAAATAATTTGTAGTAATGTTTAGCAAACCCAGTTTAAACCTAAGAATTATTCAAATGTAATAACTTTTTGAAATATGACTATTTTACACAATTTATAACTTTTAAATTACTAGACCTACAATCTTAAAAGAAATTATAATTTAACTAGCTGTACCCGCGGGCTTTGCCCCGCTTAACTTCATAAGTATTCGCATGGCTCAATCACGTCTTGGTTGAAGTTCGTTCGCTACGCTCACTCACCTTCAGGTTGGAAACCGTTCGCTGCGCTCACTTGTTTTCAGGTTAGCTCGTTCGCTACGCTCACTCACCTCTTGGTTGCAAATTAGCTGTTGTCATAAATTTAAAAAAGTCATCCCTTTTATTGTTTATAATACTTTGATCAAGGTTTTTATGTTTTAATATTTAACATTGAAGAATTTAAATGTTGTTGAGTGCACAGGTGTACTGCGATTGGGGTTTAATACATTTGGACTTATTAAAAAGTAAAATAGTTCTCTGTGCTGCACTCTGTAGAAACACTGTGGCACTATTTCAAATCATGACTAATGCTAATACAGAATGTTGTGATTATTCAAACCTACAAAACAGTTGGTGAAAGTAAACATCTGCTTTTAAATTACATTTATTTGTAAACATTGTAGATGAAAAAGTCTCACATTGGCCCACTTAAAACCCTCTAAACCTGTGGCCCTTTTGACGGATCTGCACCAAACTTCACTCGAACCATCCTTGAAAGACGCTTAACAATGCCTGAAAGTTTCATTACAATCTGTCGGGCGGTTTCGGAGTCCATAACGTATATACACACACACACATACATGAATAGTTCCTCTTTTATAGATATAGATAGATTAAAACTAGCTATTAATTATATTTCTCTTACCGTTGTAATTTATTCATGAATACTTTACATTTAATTTAGTTATACACGGATAACAAATATTCTGTAGGCACGTCGTTCGCTTATTAAATAAAAATAAATTGTTTAATGATGGCTTAAAATTAACAATGTTGTTACAAGTTCAGCTGTTTTATTGACCCCTCTACGTATCTAATAAGGTACTTAGCATACTTGAGTACCTACTTCTTGAGACTTCCTAGACCTAATCTAGGGGTTTTCATTGTTTCAAGGTACAACGCACGTAATCAACGTGTATTTAATTGCACAACATAGTTTTATATTTTTTACATGCTTCTTCATCAATATTTTCCACACATGTTTTATAACATTTAAAAATAGGTTTACATCGTATGTACAGATATTCAAGTGCATTTGGCTGTAATTCAATTGAAAAGCATACTATACAGGGTGGCTGGTCATCAGTGTTACAAAATTAATTATTTTGGAGTAAGTACGAAGTAAATGGACTGTGATGATACAAGGGGTTGCAAGTCTAAGAATTGGCTTGGCAAAGAATTATTTTAATTTTGTTCTCAAATAATCATGTTTTAAACACAATACAGCAATTTATCAATTACCTGTAAAAGGGTTTGAGTATATTATGTAATATTCGTGTTCTACGTTAAATTTTGAATAAGAATCATAAAAAATGTTGGAGTATCAATAATAAAAACTCCATTGTAATTCGTTCCTATGATTAAAATTAAGGTCTTTGATACAAATTAAAAAATCATTGGTCTATTGCATTTTTGTACACCCTGCCAATTTTAGACTTGGAACCTCTTATATGCATCATGACACTTCATTTACTTTGTACTTACACCAAAAGATTGTTGTAACACTGATGACCAGACACCCTGTATATTATTATTATAAATCTGAAATTGTGTGTGTTTGTTTGTTTGGGGCTCAATCACGCACTTACTACAGTAGAACCTTGATAACAAGACTCTACAAGATAACAAGGGATTATTAAATGAGACTTGTTATCAAGGTTGACTCCGTATTGAGGTTTGCAATAACATGTGATTTGGGGTAAAATAAATTCAAGGGGATTTCAAAATGACACTTGTTATCAAGGGTGACTTGTTATTGAGGGTCTTCTTATCGAGGTTCCACTGTACTATTCGGATTGGGCTGAAATTTGGCATGATGATAGCTCATATTCCGGATTAACAAATATGCGAATTATAATCTAAAAAATCACCATGGGCTCCACCCCAATGGCTCGGAAGTTTACCATTACTTAACCGTTTCAACAAAACAGATGTTGGGTTATATGATGGTGTTCAATAGCATTAAAATGTTACACGATTTAACAACAGGTTGCAGCACTATTATCGTGTTTCTCCCGAATGCAAAGTACGGGTCCAGCAACTAGGGCAACTTGAAACTTACGTTATCAGCGATATGACCCATACTTGCTCCCATTAGCTTGTCTTCAACCCTTATACCTTAAGCGGTGGGAGTAACTATGATATTTGACAGAGAAAATCACAAAAACATGCAATAACTTTTTAATTGTAATTATTACAGCTATGGGGATGGCGCCATTTTGTTTGCAGTTAAACGGGCCATAACATACAGCATTTTCCGTTATTTTATGGTTAGTCTATCTCTTTACACACACGTTTTAGCACACAGACATCGCTTCGAAAACCACTTTTTCTAGTAACGAGGGCCCAAAGGAATATTTCCGCCCTAAACTTAAACTCGAAAATGTTGACGTAAACTCCATCCCTACTAGCAGGGGGAGAAATTAAAAATAATGGAGAGTCGCATTACATAAATGTTGTAAAGTGACCTTGGAAGGGTCAACACATTTTCAGACGAGTTGGTTGGTAATGAGGTCTAGTTCCCCTTGGACTCCCGGTTGTAACATGTAACTTGATTAACACATCCCTGTAGACTCACAGATCCCGGTTTACGTTAGGATCAAGTTAAAGCATAATTTTATTTCCTACATTCATAGTGAGAATTCGTTATGTGTTGAGCGGAGCGAAGGTCTTTGGGATCGCCTTCGACGCAAACTTTCTAACACTATCACTAAAAAATGGCTGAACATATAGTCAAACTTACCAAGGTTGTTTCGGCAAATTTTTGGAAGGTTTAAGACCAAAAAATTTATAATTTTGATCATTCAAATTAATACTAACTTAAAGTGTTTAAATTTTAACATTGGTACTATGGGGTTTGCCATGATGGTTACAAAATAACGACATTAATGAAAACAAAGAATCATAGCATATGTTTAAAATCAAGCCAATATACGACACAGTGCAAAGGAAAAAATATTCGGATGATGACCACTGATCAAATAATACAGATAAAGTATTGCACGCCATTTTGGAAACGACCACTGATCAAATGTATACAGTATTTAACAGATTTTATGTTTGTCCTGTAATCTAAATTAGGTTATAACGAAAAATACTTATCTTGTGGAATTGTGAATTAAAATACCTATATAAATCAGCAGATTTAAATAACTAAGTATTCTCGAATCAATATTTTCATCTAAAATAGGCTATTATGAACATGTGGTTTTTTTATCCTATTCTCTAATACTAGTTATGTCTGTTTGTCTGCCTGTAACATATTATATCTTTTAATCCATCGGAAAGATTTCAACTAAATGTTGGAATTAGGGACTTGTAGCCCTAAAAACGTCATTGGTGACAGCCACTACCTCAGGAATAGTATATTTCGTACCAAGGGCCGAAAATGAGGTTTTGCTGGCTCGAGATAGTTTTTAAGTTCGAGACGAAGTCGAGAACTTAAATCGATCGAGAGCTGCAAAACCATTTCGGCCGTGGTACGAACGCTATTTTTCACCACACTATACCCTATTACCACTATTCACCACTATAAAAATGCACACTGATAGTCAACACAACTACAACTTTAAGGTTATGCGAAAATATAATTTGAGGAATCAGCAAAAATAAAAATAAATAGTTGCTAGGCAACGGTGACAATAACACAATTCTATTGCAATGCTATGGATTTTGATTGTGTATTTACAATGCATTCATGTTTTAAGTAAGTAGCGGCATAGATTAAACATACTCCCTTAGGGAGTATAACATACCCCTTGGGGAGTATGTTTAATCTATGGTAGCGGACAGCTGATTTTGCGGCCCCGGCCTGTAAAAACCTGCTCGGTCCCCAAATTACGATGACAGCTGGCATGGCCAGCAAAACGTAACTTTCAGCCACCAATTAACGTATGTAATACAGCCAAAAACATCATAGTGTGGTGAAAAAATCGTATTTCACTATACAACTCATTTGAAAAAAAAATAATAACATTGGTCTTATGAGTTTCTAAGTAACTATGTTGTTTGAACCAAATAAAAAACAAAACGTAAACAAATGAAATGTTACTACTCACATGTGTTTATATCAAGGCATCCTCAGTATACTAGCAAATTACAAAATACAGTAGAAAGGGAAAAACATAAGTTGTATCGTTGTAACTATTGAGCAAAGATTACGATTACACTAAAGATTACTAGATATAGAGGGAAATACTTGCGATAAAATACTGATTATTTTACTTAGCTCTCTCCCACCAACAATCCCTGAAGTACTGATGCATTCCAAGTAAGCTAATTACATCCAGGGGTTTTAATTGGCATAAAAATTTATTATCTAGGTTACGTAACTTATACAGTCAAAACAGTTCTAAATTCAGTCACTAAAGGACGATGTGCATATCAGAGCTTTTAAGCTCTATCTTCAGGTCCGTGGATACATTTATCAATTCATCTTGCAGATTCGTCAAAATGTTTAAACATTAAAAACACATAATACTAACACATAATTCATTA